TAAATTGAGAAAGTTAGCAAATAATTGATTTTATGCATGTCTAAATTAAGATAATTATAAAATATTTTTATAATTTTGTATTCCTCTTTATAATATTTTCTCAATATTTCCAAAATTTTCTTAACATAAAATTTTTAATTTTCTCTTATTTTTTTGGCCTAAAATATGAGTCAGCACCAAAACTTACACATTCCCTCTTTTTTTTTTTTTTTAACCCAAGCATTCATTCAATTCTCTCCACACACACACACACACAAGACCTCCCTAACATTGCCGAACTCTCACGGGCCACACTGAACCTCGACACTTTCCTCACTCACTCTCTACTCTGTACTCTCTTGCGTTCTCTTCAGTCACACGGCTCCTCAGCACAGTTCCTCATCCAGCGACCCTATTATCCTCGATATGCTTTCTTGTAATCTCTCTCAGTCATTCCCTTCGCTGTTTCTCACCACTCTCTTCAAACTCCAGTCATAGGTTCCTCCGATTCTCTCCCTATATCTCCCTTGATTCTTCTTCTCTTAATCTGTTTGTTTTTTTAAACTGTGTATTACTTTTGCATTTCAGGATTCGCTTGCTTTCTATTCTAACCTCGATTAAAGTTCCTTCCCCCCTTGCTACGTGTGCCCAATTGTGTGTGTATATACAGGAGTCAACTGGCTAGTAATTAACTATTATTAGTAGACAAAACCCATATAGATGTTAAATAAAAACTGAGTTAAATATGTGAAAACTGCATATAGCGCACACGCACACACACACACACATATATATATATAATTTTTTTTCTTGCATTGTTTCATCAGTATTCGATTTTATTAAATTTTTATATTAGTTTTGATAAATATAATAATGATATTTAAAAAAATTATATATATTTGGTAAACATTTTTCTTCCATATCTAGAATTGCCACTAGTGAGAGTGGTTTTATAAAACCCAAACTTTGAGAGGTATCATTCATTCACATATACCTTGACTTATAATTCATTATGCAATTTTATGAATTTTAGAAGTGATAAATTTTTTTTAGGTTTGATCATATCTTTCCAATTTAATTTACAAGTTTGGAGGTCGTCTTTGTTTGGAGGGATGATTATTCTACATGCAATGTGAAAATTTTGACATATTCATTTTGTTGCCTTTTGAGTATATTAATTTTGGAGTACACACGTAATAATGTTATCATCCATTTTTTAATTGACTTGTAACTCTATTGGTATTGTTTTTATTAAGGAGACAAGTTTCAACCAAATATCAATGTCATGTGGAAAAATTAGAGGCATTTGTTTTCCATACTGTTGTCTATAAAACTTATAAATTTGTTAGTTATAAATAATAGGATAACATACTTTTTGATCCTTGTACTTTACTCGTGTTTTACTATAGGTCTTTAAACTTTTTTTTCAGTATTTTGGGTCCCTACACTTTCATTTTTTGGTGTTGTAGGTCCCTAAATGAACAAAATGAACAAAGTATAGAGACTTGGAATGAACATAAAACACCGAAAAATGAAAGTGTAAGAGCCCAAAACACTAAAAAAAGTGCAAGGACCTATAACAAAACATAAGCAAGGTGTAGGGACCAAAAGATATGTTTTCTCTAAATAATATTTTATTTATGAACCATCAAGATCTTAAAATTTCTTCAAATTGAATAAGGCATATCAGGTGTAAAAGAATATATATGAGAATAAATATAGGTATTTGAGATTGCTTATAAAACCCAAATTTGAAAGAAAGGCTTCCCTGAACATTGTTTCTACAAAAATCCAATAATTCTAAATGAGTGAGGTTAATTAGTAAGATTGTCAATAGGCAAGTGCAGATAGATGAGAGTGTGAAGATTTCCAACATGATTTGGAATGGCACTTATAAATCCAATCACTTTAACCAAATTAAAGGCAAGCAATACAACTAGAAATATTATAGGAAAATCAAACTGATCAAGAATCGTCAGTTATAAAACAAACCATTTTTATTCAAGGAAAACATGAAGCTGTTGCAATTTCAACCAAAAAAAATAAAAATAAAAGGGGTGTAGATTTCATGAGTAAAGGCAACAAAGTTGAAAGAAAGATTAAATAATAAGAGTGAGGGAAACTCACCCATAAGATTGTTATCAAACAAATACAAAGAGATGAAATTGCAAAGATTTCTAATTTTAGGGGGAATGCCACCACCAAACTTGTTTCCACTCAAATCCAACCATTATAATTTAGGTAGATTTTGAAGACCTTCTATCTAAGTCATAAGGGTACTTGTAATTTCAATAAAAAAAAACTAAAATTTAAAGGCAAAGTATGGTAGATATATAGGAACTCATATTCAATTGAATTTGTTAGTTATAAAACTAATATTTTATTTAAGAACCATCAAGCTCTTAAAATTTTATGAAATTGGAGAAGGCATCTCACGTTTACAATAATGTGAGAACAAATATTGAAAGACAACTTATCAGTAAGTATGTACATGAGATTGCTCATAAAATCCAAGGTTTAATGAAAGACAACACAAAAGCCTAGTTTTTCAACTCAAATCCAACTATTCTAAGTGAGTGATGAGGTTAATTAACAAGTGTGGAATCCATGCAACTTACCAATAAGGTTGTTATAAGACAAGTTTAGATCGTTGAGATTGGCAAGACTTCCAATCTGTGTTGGAATGGCTCCACTTAACTTATTTTCACTCAAATACAACCATTTTAATTGACTGAGATTTTGAAGAGCTCCTATTTGAGTCATAATGGTACCTATAATTTTAATTACAAATAAACTAAATTCTAACCAGAGCTAGAATGACTAAATTTGTTAGTTATAAAACCAATATTTTATTTAAGGACCGTCAAGATCTTATATAATATATTTCACAAATATTAAAGGGAAAAAGACATAGTTAAGTCCCAAAGAAGGGAATTAATGACAATGATTGGTTAGTAATATTTTCTAAAATGTACAGTATAAATATTGATTTAAATAATTAAATTCAAAAGTTCTAACTACAAATAAAACATTTAAATTCTTCATATAGCTTTTAGTTTATAATTGAGATTCTTATTGTGACTATCTAAATTAATATTTATAACTCTTTAGAAATTTTTTTAGGAATTTAAATTGTCATTTATTTAATCTTTTAGGATTTTACTGTCATTCTCCTAAATATTAAATTGAAGAGGGCATCTCACAATTTAAAATAATTTGAGGATAAATATAGGTACTTGAGATTGCTCATAAAACTCAAAGTTGAAAGACAAGCTTCTCCAAAGCCTTGTTTCCACTCAAATTCAACAATTCTAAGTTAGTGAGAATGAATATAAAACCCAAACTTTGTGTTTTTATAGAAAGCCAGCTTGGTTGGTCATTCTCGTTTCATTTTCCTAAATTGGTTTACGTATCTTTTTTTATTACTATGCTATATTGACGGGTGGTCAAAGGCAAGCAAATTGTTATTATTATTTTCATACAGCTCTTTATTTATTTATTTATTTATTTATTTATTTTGCTTAAGTTCTTCTCTCATGATTGCTAAAGTCATTGGCTATGGTCAACCAGGAATCTTCATGGAATGTAGTATCATGAATTCTGTTGGGAATAAAGGATTCAATTTCTTTATATGTGGGGCTCTTAATGTAATAATAACAAAGATAATAAAACATCATATTTTGTGTTCTATAAAGTGATTCGTAAATAGTATATTAGCGTTTCAGTTGATTTTTTCAGATAGGGAGAGTGACAGTGTGTAGGTGCTTAAAAATGAAAATTAATAACAATTAGATTTTTTAAAAAAAAAACTATTGAAAATTGATTGCGAATATCAATTCTAAAATGCGTTACATCTAAAACTTAAAAATGTATTATTTGTAACTGACACTCTTGAATTTGAATTGTTTGTATTGATACTTGCAACACAATTTTTTACAAAAATATTTAAAACTTAACTGTCATTATTAATTTGGTATTTTGAAATCTAATTATTATTTTCCCTATCACATATGTTATAAAAACAATGTTCACTATCATAGTATTTTACATTTTATTATTGTAACTCTTTGTTCTTTTTCAAAGTTTCGTTGAAGTAGGTCCTCCGATCTCAATCTTTGTTCTTTTTCAAAGTTTCGTTGAAGTAGGTCCTCCCTCCGATCATTGGGAGATCGGAGGGAGGACCTATCGGAGGGAGGACCTATACTTACATGTTGACCACCGCCTTGCATCTTCCTGAATGATGTGTGAGTGCGTATGGTGTATGCAATGACATCACTCCCCCCCGGGGAAAAAAATCACAAACACTTCTTTTCTATTTTCAAAAATTATACTTTAATCTAATTTTTAAATATATTATTATCAATATTATGTTAAATATTTTAAAAAACTTTAACTTTTTATTTTTAATTATGTTAAAAAACTTAAAAAGTATTAACTGGACCTTCTAATTTAATTGCCTACTCTCTCCCCTCTCATTTTTAGAAACTTTAAATAATTATGACAATATTTATATAAATAATTTAAAAAATGTTGTGTTCAAATTAATAAAATTTAAGGAAAAAATAAGCATAAATCAGGTTGAATAATTTATTTTTTTAAATTATTTCCCTATTTCATTAATTTTTTGTACACAAAAAAGTATTAACTCCAACAACTTAGGATTATTCACCTTAAAGGCAACGTACATTAGAACCATAAATATATAGGAACTCATGCTTAATTGAAGTTGTTAGTTATAAAACTAATAATTTATTTAAGAACCATCAAGCTCTTAAAATTTTGTGAAATTGAAGAGGGCATCTCACGTTTAAAATAATTTGAGGACAAATATAAGCACTTGAGATTGCTCATAAAACCCAACATTGAAAGAAAGACAACACGAAAGCCTAGTTTCAACTCAAATCCAACAATTTAAGTGAGTGATGAGATTAGTGGAATTAATGCAACTTACCAGTAAGATTGTTATTAGACAAATCTAGATAGGTGAGATAACCAAGACTTCCAATTTGTGCTGGAATGTCTCCACTTAACTTGTTTCCATTCAAATCCAATTCTTCTAATTGAGTGAGATTTTGAAGAACGTCTATCTGAGTCATAATGGAACCTGCAATTTCAATCACAGACAAACTAAGTTTTGATCATATCGAGAATGACTAAATTTGTGAGTTATAAAACTAGTATTTTATTTAACAACCATCAAGAACTTATATAATATATTTCATCAAATGTTCAAGAGAAAAGGACATAGTTAAGTCCCAAAGGAGGGAATTAATGACAATTAAGTTGCCAATAATATTTTCTAAAATGTACATTGTAAATATCAATTTAAATAATTACAAATTCAAAAGTTATAACTACAAATAAAAACATTTAAATTATTCACAAAACTCTTAGTTTGCAATTGAGATTCTTATTGTAGTTGTCTAAATTAATATTTATAACTTTTTAGAAAATTTTGTTGGGAATTTAAATTGTTCTTTTAGAACTTTATTGACATTCTCTTAATATTAAATTGAAGAGGGCATCTCATGATTAAAAATAATTTGAGGACAAATATAGGTACTTGAGATTGCTCATAAAACTCAAAGTTGAAAGAAAAGCTTCACCATAGCCTTGTTTCCACGCAAATTCAACAATTCTAAATGAGTGAGAATGGTTATAAAACCCAAACTTGAAATATTGGTTTTGCCAAACTTTTCCACTACTCAAATAATCCAACCATTCTAATTGGGAAAGATTGGTAAATATAAGAGGTAATTGACCAATAAGTTTATTTTCATCTAAGTACAAGTAGATGAGATTTTAAAGAGTTCCTATCTAAATCAGAATGATACCTGCAATTTCAATCACAAACAAATGAAATCAAATTTATAGGAAAATTGTAGGACCAAAAATACTTTTGGAATTCAAATTCAATTGAATTTATTTGTTACAAAGCTAACATTTTATTTAAGAACCACAAAGCTGCAATTAAAATTTCATCAAAGATTGAATTGAAGAGGGCATTTCAAATTCAAAAGAATTTGATCGGACAAATATAGATACTTGTGATTGCTCATAAAATTCAAAGTTGAAAGAAAGGCTTAATCAAATCCTTGTTTTTACTCAAATTCATCAATTTAAATGACTGAAGCTAATTAACAAGTGCAGAAGGCAACTCACCAGTACGATTGTTATTAGACAAGTATAGATAGGTGAGATTGCTAAGACTTCTAATCTGAGTTGAAATGGTACCTATAAATCCATCACATAAACTGAGTCAAATTAAAGGCAGGCAAATAGAATTAGAAAAAAATTATTGAAACTCATAAAACAGTAGTATGATTTAAAAAAAAAGTGCCTATTTGAATTAGAATGACTATATAATTTCAATCACGAACAAATTAAATTAAAATTATTGGAAGGAAAAGTAGTAGGTCTAGAAATATTATAAGAGCTCAAATAAGAGTGACTAAATTTATTAGTTATAAAACTAATATTTTTTTTAAAAGCTGTCAATCACTTATATAATTTGGTCAAATATTAAATTGAAGAGGGGACCTCATTTTTAAAAGCATTTGACAACAAATATAAATACTTGATATTGCTTATAAAAGCCAAAGTTGAAGGAAAGGCTTCATGAAGATCTTGTGATATCATGAAAGATTAAATTATGAGAGGGATTAACGAACAAAATTAAAGAATTTCTGGATGAGTATAGGTAGTCACGATTGCTTATAAAACCCAAAAGTTGAAAGAAAGGCTTGTCAAAACCTTGTTTCCTCCCATCAAATCCAACAATTCTTAACGACTGAGGATAATTAACAAGCGTAGAGGGAAACTCGCTGGTAAGATTATTGTTAAACAAGTACAAATAGGTGAGATTATGGAGAGTTTCAATCTGAGTTGGAATGGCACCCACCAACCCCATCCCATGAAGAGCTAGGTATTTTAGATTAGGGAATGCAGTGAAGTTTAGATCTGCAAGGCGAGGCTGCTGTGGAGGGATACTTGGTTTCCAAATCCCAATAATACTTCCAAATTCATTGCAAGTGATCCCCTCCCATTCACAGGGGTCGACCAAGTCGTTATGGTAGCTATCATTGCTATAATGATAATTCCACCATTTGCTCTGAATCAAAGCATGTTTCTCCTCTTCTACAAAGGCAGCAGCATTATAAAAGAGAAATAAGACCATGACTACAGCCATTATTGGAGGAACTGACATAACATTATTGGAGCATGCTGTCTTAAATAATTTATGAATAGAGTTATCATTAAATGAGTGCAAAGACAGGGTCTTTATAGAAAGCTAGCCAGCTAGGTTGGCCAATGCATTTTTACGCATCCTTTTTTTATTTATTTATTATTGTATGCTTCATTGACGGGGCGTTCTAAAGTCGAATAAAAGTTTTTTAAAGCCATTATTAATTATTATTATTTTCTTACATCTCTTTTTTTCAATTATTATGCTTCATTGACTGGACCACCATGGACATCCAGCAACTTCATGGAATGTAGTTTCTTCGGTGTGCGATAGACATATAATTGCCATGTCAAATTTTGAGATAACATAATTTTTTGTCTTTTTGGCCCAAAGTGAGATAACATAAATGCGTACAAGTCCTATGTCTGAAAAAAAAAAGTGCATAAAATTATCACGTCAGACCTTGAAAATTCCTTATTATCTCCATTTCTTTCATGTAAGCAAAGACAAACAAATCTGGTTGTATCGAAAATTTAGATTTGAGGAACAAAAGTTAAAATTTGTTGTCCTTTAATTTATTTTAAGCAATTCAAATTTTAATGTATTTCAGGGAAAAAAATTATCTTTTTTTAATATTATTATATAATGTTTAGTGTTATTTGATTAGATCGGAGCATTGTTGGGTTCAATTAACAGTAATTTTTTTAGTATGATTTTTTTATCCTCATAATATGAACCCTCAACGAGAACCATTCACAATTAAAATTTTTATGATCGTTGCATTTTAATTTATTTTAAGCAATTCAAATTTTAATGTATTTCAGGGAAAAAAATTATCTTTTTTTAATATTATTATATAATGTTTAGTGTTATTTGATTAGATCGGAGCATTGTTGGGTTCAATTAACAGTAATTTTTTTAGTATGATTTTTTTATCCTCATAATTATAAACTACTATTACCATTTGAGACATATTTTCTTTTATCTTCCCATTTTTTTACCGTAACTTTTTTCCTCTATTTTGGAGTGATGAGCAGTGTCAGAAAAAGTTGTAAAAAAGAAAAAGTAAAAGTAAAAAATGTAAGACGACAATGGTCAGTTTTAATTTTTCTATTTTGATATTTTCACCACAGATTGTTCATCACTATTCAATATCAAATAACATATCTTTAGAAAACGTATTAGTTAAGCTGTCTATCGGTAACTAACATTACTTTTTTATTTTTATAATATAAGGAGTAGAACACTAACAGCAAACATTAACTCCTCAAGTTGTTGGAGCACAGAATAAAGCTAGAGTTCTCATACTGCGTTTTGAGTTGCAATTCACTAGGAAAGGGTCTTCTTCTATGCAAGAATACCTCTCTAAAATGAAGGCTCTCTCTGAAAGTTTGTCTCTCGTTGGTAGTGTTGTACCTTGATATGATTTTTTTACTTCAAGTATTAACAGGACTTGATAGAGAATAGAATCCCATTGTAGTGAAACTTTCAAAACAAGATGATATTAGTTGGATTGAATTTCAAGCTCAGCTACTTATCTATGAGTCTCGGTTATAGCAACTCAAGCAAGTCTCTCAACTGAATGTTTCTTCTCAGTTTGCAAACCATGCCTTTTCTGACTCTTAAATCGTGGTTCTCATGGAGGTAGACCTTCTCATGGAAAAGGCAGATCTAGTTGTGGAGGTGATAGACCAGTATGTGCGTTATGTGAGAAAACTGGTCATCATGTCAAAGATTGTTATAAGAGGTTTGACCGCTCTTTCAAACCTCCTACTAATGGCAGCAGTAGCAAGATTTCATTTGATGACATTCAGGCTGGTCAAAACTCTATTTTCTATGCTTCACCAGAAGTGATTAATTATGCCTCTTGGTGCCTTCACAGTGGAGCCACCACACATGTCACCAATGATGCTTCCAAACTTGACAGTCCTATGAAGAATGATGGTAAGATAACATTATTTGTTGCCAATGGACAAAATATGAAAGTTGAACAAATAGGTACTTTTAGAATTCAAAATGTGCCTAGAAATTCTGTTGTGCTTAAAGATATTCTGTATGCTCCTATTGCCAAGAAAAATCTTTTAAGCATTCCTAAACTTATTGATGATAATGATGCTACCATTTCTCTTAACTCTAAGACTACTCTTGTGAGGAAGCAGGGGACAAGGGAACCTCTTCTTTGAGGAATGAGAAGTAGTGGAGGACTTTACAAGGTTGATGCAAAGAAGATTAAATGACTTAAAAACAACTTTAGAGACCCACAGTTAGTTCTCTTGGCTGAACAAGTTAAAAACAACAGTAGAATTAGTGACAAGTCTAAAAGACTTTGGCATTGTAGACTAAGTCATCCTAGTGACCGAATTTTGAAGAAAGTGATTAGTGATTGTAATATCAAACTCAATGATAATGATCAACCCTTGTTTTGAGAATCTTGCAAGTTTGGAAAGTCTCACTCGCTGCCTCATAAAATTTCTATCTCTCATGCATCTAATCCTCTTGATCTCATTCATACAGATTTATGGGGACCTTCTCCAATTTAGTCCTTAAATGGTTACAAGTATTACATATTGTTCTTGGATGATTTCAGTCGATATAGCTAGATTTTTCCTTTAAAAACTAAAGATGAAACCTTATCTATGTTTGTCAAGTTCAAAAAATTTATGGAAAATCAATTTGACAGAAAAATTAAGGCTATTCAAAGTGATTGGGGAGGAGAATGTGGAAGTTTCACTAAGTTGGTACAAGATTCTGGCATTCATTTTAGATATTCTTGTCCTTACACTTCCTCACAAAATGGTAGGGTAGAAAGAAAACATAGACATATAGTAAAAGTTGGTCTAACCCTTTTAGCTCAAGCTCACATGCCTCTATTTTACTAGTGGGAGGCCTTTCATACAGCTACTGAGCTCATTAACAAGCTCCCTACTCCTTCTTGGTGATAGTTCACCTTATCAGCAACTATTTACCAAGTATCTAGATTATGAGAGTCTCAAGGTTTTCGGTTTTGCATGTTACCCCTGTCTTAGAGCCTATAATCAACACAAAATCTAGTTTCAAACCATGAGATGTGTTTTTCTAGGCTACAATAATCATCATTAAAGGCTATAGGTGCCTAAGTCCTACTGGGAGAGTGTATATATCAAGAAATGTGGAATTCAATGAATCTAGTTTCCTTTTTGCAAATGGATTCTTGAATAAAAGCAAAGTACCTGAAGTTAAAATTCACCCATAAGTGTTCTTTAAGTCTTCCTTGAAGCTGTTGCCCTCTGAACGTCTTAAATCTGATCAGCATATGGTCCCAAACACAATAGATGATGTTGTATCATCTTCTTCTTCCCCTATTTCAACCAATAATTAGTTTATTTCTAACTCTCCTAGTTCTAATATTAGAATTGAAGAACTTGCTGAACATGGTTCTACCTTGTCTAGTGCTTCACCTAATTCTTCAAATGTTGATATGATTTCTAATTCCTTATCTAGTGACAGAGGGCAACTTACTCAATTTATTCCTGACACATAAACACACCAGACACAGGATGCTTAGGCCAAACATCATATGATAACACATAGCAAATCTGGTATTTTCAAACCTAAGCAACCGTACGTTGGTATGGCCATCACAAATGAATGCACAAATGTTACAAAACTAAGTAATGTTCAAGATGCACTCAAGTCAACTTTATGGAGGAAATCTATGATTGAAGAGTTTAATGCACTAGTTAAAAACAAAACTTAGGTGCTAATACCATCTACTGGGAGAGAAAGACCTGTGGATTGCAAGTGCATTTTTAAGAGTAAATATGGTCCTGATGGCAAATTTTTAAAGCCCAAAGCTCAACTAGTGGCTAAAGGGTTTCAACAACATTTAGGTATTGAATATGATGAGACTTTTAGTCCAGTTCTTAAGCCATCTACTCTAAGATTTTTTTTCACTATTATTGTTAGTCTTAATTGGCAAATAAGACAGTTGGACACCAACAATTCTTTCTTAAATGGCTTTCTTGTAGAAAGGGTTCTTATGAAACAACCAGATTTTTTTATAGATAAGAGATATCCTAAACATGTGTGCCTTTTAAATAAAGCCATTTATGGTTTAAAACAAGCACCTAGGGCCTAGTTTGATAGACTGAAAAATACATTGTTGAGTTGGAATTTCACTCATTCCAAATGTGACAGCACTTTGTTCTTCCTAAAACTTAAGGATAGTGTGATGTTTTGTCTAATATATGTGGATGATATTATCATCACTAGGAATAACTCTCGTATGCTTGATGTGTTTGTTAAAGAGTTGAATACCTTATTTCCTCTTAAGGACCTAGGTAATCTACATCATTTTCTTAGTGTTGAGGCATATCGAGATTCTACACGTTTATACCTCAAACAAGAGAAATATATATTTGAACTTCTAATGAAGTGTGGTATGGAGAATTGGTCACCTATTCCTAAGCCTATGGTTGTTAATAATAATCTATCTATTTACAATGGAATTCCTCTCCAGAATCATACAGTCTACAGAAGTGTCATCAATGCCTTATAGTATTTGGTAAACACAAGACCAGATATTATTTTCTCAATCAATAAGCTTAGTCAATTCCTTCAAAGACCAACAGATAAACACTGGAAGGCAATTAAGCAGCTAGTTTGATATTTGAAGGGATCCTCAAATCTTAGTTTGCATATTAAACCCAGAAATTACCTGAATCTTCATGGCTATTTTGATGCTAACTGGGTTGTTTGTGTTGATGATCGAAAGTCTATCAGAGGGCACTGCATTTTCTTTAGTGATTCTTTGATCGCCTGGTTCGAGAAGAAACAAAGAGTTGTATCCAGATCTAGCATAGAATCTGAATATAGGTCTCTTGCTGACCTTACGACTAAGCTCGCATGGTTACAATCACTAATTTCTGAGATTGGCTTGAAACTTGACCAGATCCCTATAGCTTGGTGCAATAATCAAAGTGCTGCTACTTTGGCATCAAATCCAATCTATCATGCTAGAACTAAGCATATAGAACTAGATGTGCACTT